GTGAATGATTGCACGATTATTCAAAATATTAACAAATTTATTTATTACATTTCTAACTTACTTTTATTGTGAAAAAATCACTGATATTTTAGAAGATCAATCGGAAATCTTTTTATTTTCAATCATTAAATTATTTAAAAGTTTCTTCCATTATATCGATATAATCCTTAACATCATTCATATATCTCCGTAAAAATTTGTGATCTCTTTTTACATTTTTAATTAATTTTTTAATGTCTGTTTCCCTATAAAAAAAAACAGAAAAAAATAATATCGAATTTTCAAATAATTATTCAAGCTATCTAAACTTACTTTATTCTACCTAGTATACAATAACAGTTGATATCATTTGGAGTGAGTTTATCAAATCGTTTAATTTTAATCGTGACTTCCAGTATAATGTCCAACCGTTTGCTTCGAGATATAAATGAAATTCTGAAATAAATAGATTATCACAATTTCGTCAAATCGGTGCACATGTATGTATTGATTATATTTTAAATAATAGTATATAATGTAACAGTATGATATAATTTGATGTAAATTATTACTCGTCATTAGTAATCTCCATTAAATTTAAATCATCCAAACGCCTCAAATCAAACTTGAAATCCATAGTTAGTTTTACATCTTCTGAAATAAAATTTAACATCGGAAGGATGTCCTGATGAGTTCTATACGAACTTGTAAGTAATTCCGCGTTTACTTTCTCCAGAATTAATTTGTAAACTATCTTTGAGAATACTCCTGAATCATCTATAAAAAAAATAAATTAATCTCATAACTTTATTATTAAACTGATATTTGTATAATTACCTGCAAGGCGGGAAATAATTTTGATTTCTTTAATCAAATTTTTCTCGGAGTCATTAAAATCATATGATAAAAATGTCGCTATCAATAATGAATTTGCTATGAAACCAAAAACGATCATTTTCCTGTTAATATTATTATAATATATGTTCCAAATAACATCGTCCCTACAACAAAATAATTTATTAGATCTCTTTAATTCCTTTCTAATAGTAAAATATACTAAAAATATATATGTACCCTGCGGCATACGTTTCTAATTTTTGCAATAATGTTACAAATGGATCTTCGTTAATTGTGCTAACATTATGTGTTGTTACGAGTCCTTCTGTTGCACATTTGTCTTTCTGTCTCATATTTTGTTGTTTCACTTCATTATTTAAATTTATTCTATATTTTTTGGGCTTTATTTGATCTTCAATTATTACTTCTTCGAGATAATCACGTTTTTTTGTTTCCTGTAACAGTACAAGATCTTAATCATTTCATGTGATTAATTAGCAAAAAATTGAAATAGCTGATGATCAAGTAGAAGATCAAAATAAAAAATATATTCGGAAAAAAAAAAAAAAAAGCAAGATTGCAGAATAATATTAAAGAGCAAGGGCAATATTCAGATTTTATCAGTTACTTCAATTTCTTTGATAATTAATGATGTCGAATAATTAAGATCTTGTATTATTACAATTTTCTCAACCTTAGTATTCATTGATAGTACGCTTTTCTCATTAATATTCTTTGTCGTATGATAATTTGATTTATTAAGTTGATTGTCATTAATAATTGTCTTTATTATCGCTTGGCAATCAATTTCCTGATTATTTTCAGCTTTATTCATTACAGTATTTTCGTGGCGATCTTCTGTTTGATTGTTCTCAGTATTTATTGATTCCTCTTTTTCTCTTAAAATTGTGAAATAATCGTTTGCGATATTTTCCTTCGAATTTGTTGGACAGTTGAATTCTATTATATTATTTACTATTAATTGGTTAGAAATATTATTTACTGATATATCAGTGATGATCGATGTCGATGATTCATGTTGAATTTCGTGGAAAGAGCTTTCTTCCTCGCTGCCTAAATGTACGAACGATGGCGGTTTAATTGATTGTAGCTCTTCAAAACTATCTTCCAGATGTGGCAAACTTTTTCTTGAAAAACTATATTTACTAATCTCGTCTAGACTATTCCTAAGATTTGAGTTAGATATCTGTGTATGATCTATTGTTTTCTTTACAGAATCATTATATTCTTGTTCAATATCATTTAAATCATTTACATAGTTAGCGCCAGAAAATGAATGTATATCACTTAAAGAATGAACTTGAGAAGACTGAATTTCCATAAAAGAATTGCGAACTCGTTTTGAATATGATTTTTTATTGTCATCAGACATTCTTTTTTTACCGCTGGCATTTTCTGAGTTTGTACTTAATGAATTATTCAGTGGAGATTGAGTAATGGAAATGTTAGACAATTCATTGTGTCTAATATTTTCTGCTTCTACAATTTCCCTTGGAATTGTAAAATTTTCTTTTGTTACATCTTCCCTTAATTCTGTTAGATTATTATTTGTCATTAAATGTTGGAACTCATTATTTTTAGAAATGATTAAATTCTCTGTTTCATTTACTTTCACATCTTGTGTAAAATGTAATGTTGATGGTACTGCAGTAGTTATTTCCATTGATATATCTTGAATGGTTTCACTTGCAACTACATCAGTTTGGCATGATACTCTCGCGGAATTTTCAGCTGGTATTGAGATTGTTTTTGACAATGTTTGAGAAAATGATACGGACTGTGTAGGGTGAGTAGTATCAGTAGTACTAAATGTTATCTCGTGCAAAGAAATTGGGACAACTTCGGTAAATTCCATAGATTTATATAATAATTTAGTTCCTTCATTAAAGTAGATTGAATCATTCCTATCTTTTTCTTCATGTGTATTCTCTTTAGATATTGATTTACAAATTGGTTGAGTAATTTCTTTTCTTGATATCGCTGTGGTCATTTCTATGGATACATCAGCGAAGAGTACAGTTTTATCATTTTTTGATATTAATTCATCAATTTTTAAATTCGCTTTGTCAATGTTTAAAGGTGCTACACTTACTGACTTTGTTATTTCCATTGATGCATCATTGAAAAATTTAGTTTTATCGTTTTTTTCAATTTCACATGTACTTTTATTTGAGTGAACAACGTGTGCAGCATGAAACATTTTCTCTTGACACGAGGGAACTGAGAGATCTTCAGTAAACTCCATAGATTTGCATAATGTTAGTGTTTTTTCATTAAAACAGTCCGATCTATTTATATCCTTTTTATTATCTGTATTTTCTTCAGATGATTTATAAATAATTCTACCAGTAATTTCTTGTTTGTTTCTTGTTGACATTGTCTTGGTCATTTCCATAGATACATTATGGAAAAACATAGTTCTATCATCTATAGATATTGGTTCATCCACACTAATATTTTCCTTATTGCAAACATTTGAATACAATGTGATACCTAGAGGTTTTGTCATTTCCATCAGCACATCATTAAAAATTTCAGTTTTATCAATTTGATCCTTTGTCAGAGCTTTTTCTTTGACTGTAATTTCATTATTGACCTTCTTTTCATTCATTTTAGATGGTACCATAATCATTTCCATTGAAGTATCGAGAATTGTATTATTTGTGTGACATATATCTGTGGCATCTGTAATGAAAACATAAATAATTAAAAAACAAATATTACTACATAATCATGCATCAATAAAATGTAAATGATTGTATTACAGATGTTAATATCATTGAGTCATTGGCATATCTTACATCTGGTATATATTCAGAAATGTCTCTAGAAACAATTAGATTGTAAATTTGTTGGAAATAGAGAGTTATGAGTATTTGTAGCATTTCATTTCATATGTTCACAGTTTTGTAATATTGTTGGAATTTGTTCGAAAATTTCTAAATTAGAAACAACAGATTCCGCAAATATTGGTACAGCCTCGGTATAATAATATTCATTGACATATTACAATTAATATATTCCATTGATACACGATTATTTTTAGTAGTATTTGTTTTTAAATTATTTATGTTATTATTATTTTCCTTAAATTACCTTCTTGTTTCTTTTCTTCTTCAACGTGTAAATATGAAGGTACTAAAGATGTACATATTGGTGCTGTTAGGTCCATAGAAAAATCTTGAATACGTGTTTTGTCTAATTCAGAGTCAACATTATTAGAATAAAACTCAGAAGGATATTTTTTAGCAACATTATCTTTACAGTCTTCTTCATCAGAATCTCTATATATTGTAATATTGCTTGACTTTATACTTTTAGATATATCTGTTATTATAATTTGTCCAAATTGAGATTCTTCATCAGACAACTGTATATATTCTGTATCCAAATTACTTGATACCAAATCATTAGATATGCAAGATTTATTTAGTGCATGCACTGCACTAAAACCTAAATTATAGTTTGTATCATTATTTCCTTCATTGGCTGTTGCAACAGATCCTTGTGGTAGTTGATTATCAACTAAATAGATACCTATTAAAATAAATAATATGTATAATATGGCTCAAATAATTAAAAAGAAAATATGTTAAGAAGAGCTACCAAAATAACAAATTTAATGTACATAATAAGATAATAATAAAAATATTAGTTTAAGATAGAAATATTCTTATTTTTATTTATTTTTAATGTATCTTATTATTTATATTTATTTATTTGCATCTTATTTGTATCTTATGTATATTAAATTTGTTATTTTGGCTTATAGTCCTTTTTAATAAATTTTCTTTTATTTTAAAGGTAGGTATTGTTTGGACAACATAAACTATTTTCAGAACGAATACATATACAGTCATTATTATAGAGGTATGTATATTTTCTATCATTTCACCTTCAGCATTCTGATCAATTACAAAAGATCCTTTTAAAGTAGAATCCTGTTCTTCGTATGTATTATCCCACACAGTACCTTGTTCAGTAGAATGACAAAATTCTCTGCACAGAATAAAATAAAGATTTGAATAACAAATTGTAACCAAGCATTACAAAACCAAATACTCACTTGACATGTTTTTTCTCCGCAAAACTAACTCGTCTCTTGTTTTTTGATGAACTTGGACTGTTTTCATTGGATGAAGAATCAAAATTCACATTTTGCAATGGTTGCCGTGGTTTACATGGTTTAAGAATCTACCAACATGATTCTTATTAAGAATTATTAATTTTTAATAAAAATAATATACATTGTTAAAATAGATAACTCTTTAATTTAAAAAATTAACTAGAAAAGTTATAAGTCATATGAATAGATATGTAGTTACCGATGATCGTCTAGATTCACTTCGTCTAGGTTTCGATGGAATCCTGTAACATAAATAAAAATATTCCTTTTTTTTTTGTAAAATTCTTTGTATCACAGAATCTTAATTTGACGTATAAAATGAAAAGAATATTTTTAATACATACATTTTATTCACATATATATTACACACTTGTACACACTGTACAACTAAGCTGCTGAAAGCAGCTGAGAGCAGCTGAGAGAAAAGAAAATCCGTTAAATTTGATTTCTCCCTAATTCCCTCCTGAAAACCGCCATATTTATTTCGTAAACGCATTTAAATTAAGCCACATAAAATCAAATTTCTATGTTACGAAAATTACGAATTGAAAATAAAAATTATTAGATTTTTCACGTTCATTAAAATGTCCTATACTTTTTCAGTCATCGATTCGTATTGAGCTTTAAAGCTTATTTTACAATTGCGAAAGCGTAATTGTAATTGTTGTAAGCAATAGTAATTGCAAAAATTCACAATCGAATATTCTCCTCGTATTGTAGTGCGATTGGTCAATTCTTACAATTCTACACTACGTTTATGAAATTATAGATCGTCTAAATTATAGATTGTCCTCGCAGAAAGTGTTTGCGCTTAGTGCTTTTCGGAACGCAGCAGTCTTGAAAACTCGGCACAACTCTTGCATAAGGCGTGCACGAGTGGGAGTTTGTAATCTTGGACCAATGAACGATCGCCAAATCGCAATTCTGACAATTTCATGTCGTGAGTCGCGATAATGTTTGTACATATGTATGTATATATATATATATATGATTACGTTGAGCGATATCAGATGACATTTGACGGTGGTCGGGTACGATCGGTCGACAGAATTTGTTAAAAAGTAACGTGACAAGAGTAAATCGTGCAGGAATTTTCCTAATTAAAGATCGAGACGCGCTTTTTCAATCGACGAAGGGAACGATCGGCATCGTCAATTTCGTCGTGAGTTGAACGACGTCGAAACGGCTAGGCTTATCAATTGCTGTTACGTACTACGTCAACAGCTGACCTCGGGTTGCCTCGGGCTGGCTGTGACTAGCTGGTGACACGCCGAGAGGATGGCAGACGCCGCCGTTAATCTTATAATAAAGGCACCAAATCAACAAATCAAAGATCAGATAGTTAAATGCGATCTCGGCTGGACTATTGGTCGTTTGAAGGAATATCTGTCCGAAGTCTATCCCAGCAAACCAGTAAGTTGCGTGAAAGTAATTATTTCCGCCCGGTGAAAGCAGAGTGTGTTTCTCTTTATATTTTGTCTTCTTTTTTTTTCTCTTTGCTCCATTAAAGGTAAGCGAAAAGATAACTATCTCTTTAAACAATGATATTCGAAATGTTTAAATGCTTCCTAATTAGATACAATCTTAATTATTAGTTTTTCATAGATATTCATAGTGGGATGTAGAATGATATTGTTTATTTGAAAAAGAGAAATCCTCCACCTTCAAACAATGCCACTCTATGTCTCACTGTGAATGAAAACTCTATGAAAAACTAAGAATTTCTAAGACAAATCTCACTCTATGTCCTATTACAAATATCTATGAAAAACTAAGAATTCTAAGATCTTTTTTCATCTATGTAAGTATTTTGTACTTTTTCGTACAAATTTTTTTCTGCCAGAGTTGTTTACAAAATTATCAGTAATCTGCAAGTGACTTTAAGAGTTATGTTTTAAAGGAAAGATTAGTATTATTAGATGAATATATTTGTGAGCTTTTTTGATGATTTAAAAAGGTGTGATGTCTTTGTGTTAAATTGTTATTCATTTTTATTAATATAATTTATTTATATGCCTGTTGTTGTAATAATATTACATGATACATATATTAATATTATGGACGATATATATTTTATGAAAATGTATTTTAATTCCTAAAAAGTTTTTAAATTTCTATTTATTTTATCTTTTTATTTATCTTAAAATTTTTAATATTAATGCTACAATTATTTATTATTGTACCCTGTATTGTATTACAAAATGTTTAAGATATACAAGTGATCTAAGTCATTATTATTGTTGTTTGTAGGAAAGTTCACATCAGAAATTGATCTATTCCGGTCAGTTATTAAACGATTCTGCACAATTGAAGGATGTCTTGAGACAATGCGATGGTTCAGAGGATCAAGCGTATACCGTTCATCTAGTCTGTACTCCACAAAAGATGTGCGCTGCTCAGGCTACGTCGGATCAAAATCAATCAACTGAAATAAATATAGATGCTGGATCTGCAATAAGAAATACTCATATCAGAAATAACACTATTCAAAATCAAAATCAAGAGAATGCTAATGTTACTGCAGCTCAGCATCAACAATACTTATCTCAGCAGTATCTTGATCCTCGAAATAGTCAACAGTTAGCTTGGTTGCAACAGGCATATACACATTATTTTACACAGTATATGCAATTGTAAGCTGTCCTTTACAACTGTTTAGTAAAGGAAAAAATGCATAAATGTGATTACAATGTGATTATTTTCAGAATGGCAGCGCAAGGTGTACAGTTGCAAGCCAGTATTCCATATCTGCAGCAAATGAATATCAATACAAGTGATACGGCTCAACATACATACACGAGCAATAATAATAACAATGTTGGTGATGAGCAACCCCAACCAGTTGCTCAAGATGCAGCCGATGTCAATGCAGGAAATAATGGTGCAGGCGAGGATGCTGCATTTAACCGCGACTGGTTGGACTTCTTCTACATGTTATCTAGAATCGTTGTTCTATTTGGTATAGTGTATTTCTATTCATCCCCACTCAGGTTCCTCATCGTCACGTTTCTGGGATTTGCAATATATTTGTAAGTCCCAATTCTCTAATACACATATTCTTTAATACACTAAAAACAAATTTATCAAATTTTAATATTTCTTCAAATAGTTCTAGCGAAATATTTACTAAATATATTTACTAAACACATATTTATTACTAATAGTACAAGTATTAATTTGATTAAACTATCATTTTTTAAATTTATCTCAATATTTATTGTTTGCTAGCATTTTTCAAAGAAATATTTATTAAAAGTTAATATTTTTTTTTCTCAATGTAGATCATAATTCCTTTTTTACGTATACAGGATGTCCCGTAAGTTTTTGCCAAGTGTATAGATAGAGCGAATTAAATTGAGTCGAAAAATCCTCTATCATTTTGCAATTTTCGCAATGATTAACGAGATATTAATTATTAAAAATCGCTGAATATTGATTTTCAAAAAAAAACTTGTCTCTTACAATTTTTTTGTAAAGTTCATAGTATACGAGTAAAAAATTATTGAAGATCATTTCAATGTTCGACAGTTTTTAATAATTAATATTTTGTTAACTATTGCGAAAATTGTAAAATAATAAACTTTTCGATTTAATTGATTTTCGCTCTACTTATACGAAAGCGCTTGGAAAAAAACTTACGGGATATCTTGTACATACTCTCTATACATGTTTCTTTGATGCTTTTTTTTGAACTTGTCTGAAAATTATTAGATGTAACACAAGGTATTCGTTATAGATATCAAGGTGGGTTCTTTAGGGTACAGCCAATCCTATTGGCTGAAAATAACAACGGACGCGCAGACAACAACAATCAAGTATTACAGAACGAAGTAGTAGGTCCTCAGGCTATGCCGCAACAGCAAAACGCTCAAGTGCCAACCGTGCAACCAGAAGCACGAACAAATGCCAATGAAGAGAATGAAGAACAACGTCCAGGCGCTCTTGCCTTTACTTGGACCTTCTTTAGTTCGTTTTTTGCCTCGCTTATTCCAGATCAGCCAAATGTCATTTAATCCCGCCCGAATATAAAATCGACATTCTTTTCTTCTATACTTATAACGTAAAGACTGGAGAAGATGACTTTGTCATGATATATATCAGGTTTTTAAAATATTTAACAGTTTGTAGAATCAAAAGTGCTTAAACTCGTGATTAATTCAATACATATATTCCTATGAAAGTCTGATCAGTTTTATGGTATCCAAGGAGTTTTGTATCTAAATCTAATATATA